CCAAGATTGTCCGCAGCAGACCCCTCCGAATTCTTGGATCTTGGATCCGGGTCGGGGCCCGAATCATTTTGATTCGGAAATGATTCGGATGATTCGGCTTCCCCGGCCCCCCATATAAGATTCGGTTGTTACCTCATCATGATGACTATAACGTCTGGTCCTTCCTGAAGTATACCAGTCATTATTATGTGCATAATGTTTTTATTGCTTCAGGATATGCGAGCCCAGCATGTTTCGGAATATAGGTTTGCTATTCTTCCTTTAGCGCAATCCTCCCTGCTCTAGTCTCGTATGCACCAATCACCTGTCATCACGATTATCCTAGCGCCGCCACCAGAGTTGCACACATCGTATGATCTTGATCCTTCAGTCCCGCCCCCTATACTATATTTGCCTTATATTGTCATGGCGACTATGACGTCTGATCTTTCGTGACGTATGCCAGTCATGCTTCTGTGTCTACTGTGCTCGTTGCATCAGGAGGTATAATTACATCATGACTAGCAGTATTGATTTTGTCATTCACCCTTTAGCGCTTTCTTTCATCGATATCTTTCATGCTGTAGTCCAGTGTGCACCAATCCGTTCAATTAACATCTCAGCAGCACTATCCTACCGTCACCACCGAAACTCTATTTGTTTCTATGCCATGCTCAATGACAAGCTGCACTGGAATGCACGTGCGACCTTAGCCGACGGTGTTCAAAACAGTCTAGTCTTGGATTCCTTGCCTATTCGTGCAATCATGGCCCGAATGCCCATCGCCGGTTATGTCTCCATGAAGGATGGTGGAGCCGTTCTTCATCTTTCACCCGTTCGCCTCGCAGCATCATCGCGCAACGACCCTTCTCCAACATCTACCCCGTGGGACTCCAACTCCCGCCAGGACGATGTCATTTTGACCGCCGTGAACGACCAACGGGTCGCCGTGCACAACTCTCGGCTTCCTATGACTGCATCCGATTTGAGACTTCTCCTCAACAATGTGCAAAGGGCATGCAAGTTAAAGGTTGGCTTGCAAGGAGACTGGACGCAAGACGCTACTGACAGGCTCTTGCGTGTCCTTCTGCAAATGCTGCTGCTCTGCTCCTACTTATACTAGCACTAGTATCTGTAATACCAGTACTCACGCTTGTGCAAAAGCCAGGACGATGACAGCGACGACAACCATCTCTTCTCCAAGCAATCATGTGTTGACGCCACCCGCTGCTTCAAAGATAGCTTAGTCATCAAACGAGCAATCCTCCTAGCCTCGCCGAACGTGCCATCTCAACCATGGAAAGCCTCATGGACAAGGTCATTGAAAAAGGTCTCTGGGAGGGAGTGGCATTACGAGGCTTTGTCTTTGCCCCAGGTCGGTCACATGCCCGCCTCCGAAATAGCCGAGCCGATCACGATAGAACAATTCCTCCAAGCTGCTTGCCGCAGATGCGACCATGTCAAGAGCACAACCCTCCTCTTCGATGTACATTTCAAGGTGGCCGAGTTCGGTGGCCTTGCCCGTGTCGGCGAGCTCATACAACAAGGTGAACTTGATCATCTGCCTCTTCCCCTTTGTCTCGGTGGCAAACTTCCTCCAAGTGCGAAGATGGGTGCCGTGATTCAGAACCTAGAGGACGGGACAATGAATGTGGTGAAGATTCTTCACTTCCCAGACAAGGTCTGTGTCGCTCATGTCTCCAAGCTTTGCACTGGAAATGCCTATGTTCCTGTCTTCCGGCAAGGCGAGAGTAGTTTGAAAAAGATGATGCAGTCTGTTGCACTGTAAGCCAACATCCGCATGTAGCAGTTTGCTCGATCCCTTAAGTCTCTATGTGTCCCCTGACAAGGACCGTGGGCTGTCAAGAAAGCGGTGCAGCACTTGTTGCAACGCCTTCATGGATTCCGCATCATGTGGAATCAGGTGTCAGAGAAACAGCCAAGCATGCGGAAGACACAGTCGGCACAGTGGGCCCCGGAAGATGAGGAGCTTCGGAAGGGCATCGACTTCATAAATTCACTGGCACCAGAAGGTGATGCTTTAAATGAGCAAACCTTTTGGATCCTTTCGTCCATCCGCGAGCAGCCGGGCACTCCAATAGAGGGTTGGCCAGAGTCCAAGGTTCGGAACATGGCCCAGAACAAGAGCCGTGGGCTCGCTGGCGCACAGCCACTGTCGCACTACCCTCTGCACACGTACAGCATGAAAGACTTCATGTCTACTGTGTTGCTGCCGCTGATATATCCTCTTCTTGTCGTTCATGGTATCATCATGGTGGGTTGGCCTGGGGTGGGGAAGACCCCGGCCTTGATATGCATGATTGTGGCTATTGGCAGGTACCACATCCGAAAACTTGGTCTGAACACCCAGCCGAGCTGGAGAAGGGCCAAGGCCTTAGACAATTTCCGACATCGCATTCCCCAGCTCTACGAGGGAGTTTTTCTCGACGACCCGAGTCGTGAGAAAATTGATCTTGCCGATCTGAAGTCCTACCTCACGGCCGAGGAAGACCAGACTTGCTCCGGGAGGTACAACGACATCAAGCTGGTACGAGGCCAGGTGAGAGCATACGCCGGCAATCACTTGAAAGCGGAAGATGAGCCAGAGCCAGACGCCAGGAAGTCCATCACTCCGGAGGAGATGTTGAAACTTCTTCGACATACTTTCGTGGGCGAGAAAGACGCTGATGTCATGGCCGTTCTAAAGCGAGCCATAGTCTTTGTCTACGGCAAGCATGCTCTATATCTCCGACTTCCCACTGAGGCCTCTGACGGGATGATCCATCGCATTGTTGAGGATGACATTCACTTGGATGTTTTGGCCCCCCATGACAAATGTTTCTTCGGTGACTACAAGATTGGCTCGACCAAAAAAAGGTGATGACTTTGATGAGGCAGTGCAGCGGGAGCAAGAGATGATGCTGAACTCCTTTGGGCGCATGGAGGAGATGGGTCAGAAGCGGTATGTGGAATACTGCAATGAGACATTGAAACAGCATCTTCAACCTCCGGCTCCCGCACGTGCAGTCCGCTGGTTGCCATCTTCGCCCTCCACGCCTGAAGAAGGCCCCGTCGCCGACACTCTCCCCTTCTCAGTCCAGCTGGCTAGCAGGGACACTCCCCGTAAAAGGCTGACAGACGCCTCGAACTTTGTCTATCCAACTCCGCAAAGGCGTCTCCGTCAGAAGCAATCTGATGCTGCCAAGAACATCTACACCGGCAACGCTGCAGCCCCTTCTGCCGATCCTGTGGAATGCCCAGCAGTAGCGACTTCACCCGGTGATGAGATGGATGTTCAGGAAGATGCGGACGAGGAGGCCGCCAGGGCGTTGCACAACTGAGCTGTGCGCCAGGTTTTGTAGTTCTGAACTACTTGTAACTGCATTGGCTTCTAGATAGCAGACTGAACTGAATGTGAGGTCTTTACCCGGGCTCGGGCACTATAAATCACATCGCAAGCAAATGCAAGCAAGAACATCGGCACATTGCAGTGCAACGGCTTACTTGTGACCGGTGCTAGCTGTGTGACTGTATGGCTTCTGACTAGAGCTTGCAGGCAAACGCCTTTCTCCCAAGCACAGCATTTTGGCGCACAGCAAACCTTAGTCACAGTCCCCTTTACTACAGCGGACAGCTATGGGCAAGAACTTTGTCAACAACGTCGTGCCAAAGAAGAACAAGCTCAGATCGGTCCAGAAACGACCCGCAACCAAGAAGTCCACTACTTGGAAGGTTGTCAAGTATGTTCGTGAGAAGTGTGCCGTGGGTCCTCGTGGACGGCGCAAAGACCAAATCAAGTGGAAGAGGACACTTCATCAGCTCCTGCGAGCCTCCGACCAGGAGATCATCAACATGCTCATCGCCGACAAGTTCATCCCAAAGTGGGAGGGCAAGACCTGCCCTACCTGCTCCAAAGGCACATTGTCCAAGCTGCAGCTCGATCCCCGCGGTTGCTTCAAACATCGTTGCAGTCATCGCAATTGCCACGTGTGGATGAACCCTCATCATCTACACCCACTCTTCACCGAAGGCCAAGGACCGCAGGCTCAGTCCCTCCAAATGCAGGCCGCGCACATTCTGTTGAAGTTGCACAGGATAAGGCCATTCAGGACATGGAGAAGAAGATCTGCAAGCTGAGGCAGGAGTATGTCGAGAAGAAGGAAAAGGAGATCATTCTCGGGGATGGGAAATCCTGGAAGGACATCGAGGCTGATGAGGCTACTTTTGACCGCCGTGACATATCCCAGGATGTGGAATTCAAACACTTGATCCAGTCCAAGGACGGCGTGATGATGTGGGAGCAGTGGGCGGGCATCATTCAGCGCGGCCGCCCCGAGACCTTGATTCTTCGCAAGTTGCAGCCCAAGATCACTGTGAAGCGTGCCCCCGGGCCCGGCGCCATCAGGAAGATTGAGTGGAAGGCCTTGGGTAACGAGCTGTTGCGGGATCGCAAAGTGATCCTGCACACAGACTCTGCCAAGAGCTACAAACTCAAGCTTCCTGGGGTGTTGCACGATAAAGTGGTTCACTGCAAAAAGCGAGTGAAGGTCAACGGGATATGGCAGTGGCAGCGCCCACATTATGTGCGGGTCGTTACTCACAAGTTGCCCGGGACCAAGGGGAGAACCCTCAAGGTCAAATCCGGCACACAGATCATCGACCGCTGCTGGCGATTTCTCAGGGATCGTATCCTTGTCAACCAGCACACAAAAGCGGGCAGTTCCCTACTCCGAGCAAAGCTCAGGTCGGCCCAGAACCGAAACGCTGACCTTTTGGTAGGATGCGGTGACCTGTGTGCCGGTTTTATGAAAAAGTTTGTGTCCTAGGACACAAATTGACCTGGGTGTTGGGGCCTCCATCGAAGGAAAACAATTCTTGCATTCAAACTCTGCTGCTTCATGCGCCAACACATGCAGTGTCTGTATATTGCTGCCACCAACTTCACCAACCACGTAAATATGCACACATGTATGGGTCACATGAACTTTCTCGTATGTGTAGAGCGCACTGCAAGCAATGAGCAGTTATGCTACCACACAAAGTAATGTAGTGATTCTCGTGAGTTTTCGCACACGATTCAAGCACGAGGCGTGGGTACATGAGGGGGGGGGTAGCATATATATATATATATAGATATATATATATATACATACATATACAGACATACGCACACACACACACACACGCACATATATATATATATATATATACACACAATCAAAAAAACACACATGCACTCCCCCAGATGTGTATAAGGATGTGTGTATCCGTATATGTATGTATGTGTATATATATATATACAGATGTATGTATTGGTTCACTTGAGGTGTAGTTGCATGTAGTTTTATGGAATGAGGCTCTTTAGGCCACGTGGCTGACAGGTCCCGGGATGTTGCTGCAGCTGCTGCTGGTGTTGCTGTTGTGTGTTTGGTTGGTTGGTCGGTCGGTCGGTTGGTTGGTGTTGGTTGTTGTTGTTGTGGTCGTCGTTGTCGTCGTTGTTGGTGTGTTCGTGTCAGCAGGTGCCATTTGGCGTTCGAGTCGTGTGCCAATGTAATGCCTGAACTAATGTTTTCGAATTTCCCTATATCCTGAACCTTAGTAGCCTTAGTGTGCATTTGGATGTAATTCTCTTGTGTCATGTTGGTATTACTGTTACTTTTCGTTGGGTTTATCGAAGAGACAGATGCAGACAAACCCTTATTCGTCATATGCCTGCGATTCTGTTTTGTGGTTTCTTGCAGATTGGTGGGTTTCGCACTGTACACATTGGGCTCTAGTTTTTTTGTTCCCTACGCGTGTCCAAAATTGGGATCAGTGCATGTGTGACCTTTGGCTCTTCTGGTTCATCTGCAGTATTTGTCACAAGGTTTCCTCCTGTTCAACAACCCCCTCAAAATATGGATATCCAAAACTTCTACCTGTGGGTCAAAAGTCAAAACATAGACGCACACACGCACACACACACACACGCACATATAAATATATATGTGTATATCCGAATATATATATATATGTATATACACATGTACATGCATGATGTGCGAGCATATACAGCAGGATATACATGTACAGACACACACAGACGGGTATTTCTAAGTTTCTGTGTACCTGTAGGTGTTTATGTCTGTCTGTATGTATGTATGTCTGTATGGAACCCGTGTTTTTTTGCTGTAGTTGCTTTATGTTGGTTTTCAATGTGCGTGCGCGAACCCAGGAAGCCACTGAGTGAGTGAACCTCGGCCCCCGGCACGAAAGCAAACAAAAAACGCGCCTCCTCGCAACGACCTATGCATAGCAACGGTAATGCTGTCATCGGCTGGTCAAGTAGCTGACAAAGTCAAAAAGTAGCAACGCTGGCAGATTTAGCAGCAACAACAATCACAGGGATACTGAGAGTGGTAAGGCAACGATAACGACGGTCATCGCAACGAAAGCAATAAGGACTGTAATCATGATACCAAGGGTAGCAACACACGAGGAACATCAAAGATTAATAGCACGAAACACCATGTGCACACACGCACATGTCGCCTGATTCGAGAAGTTGTAGAATTGCACGACCGAGTCTGATGCGAAGCCTCTTTGGTCGTGTGTTTCACATATGGGAGGACGAAGCGCTGCATCGGCACAACTTCTTCTCGTTAGTCACGAGGCGGCTTGATGCCTGAGCTGTCGCTGATGAAAATTTCGCGCATGCATGATCTGGTCGCGAGTTGCGAGGCACCGTTTCCACAGTCGATTGCTGGCATGCTCGATAGCAGCATGCCCAGTCATGTGCATGTCATCGCGGCAGCGCGCTGTGGCAGTGCTGACTGGTTGCGCTCGATGTAGGCGCTGCATTGGAGGGAAGTTCCATTGCTCAAGGGTTTGGGGCTTCGAATATACTAAATGTTCAATAGGTGCAGCTCCAGAGCACTGTTGGAATGCCCCCGCCACTGCTTTCAACTTCAGTCTTCAGCTGCACGTCGACTGTGTTGCATACAAGGCAAAGACGTTTCGGAGAGGCTTTGTGCCATCAACGCTTGGGCCGGGCTCCTACGGGCCACTATTGTAATGTTTCAAAAGCCTGCTTCCGGAGGCCTTCCCAAATCCTAGCACAACTGTTCTTGTTGCAGTTGAAGGCCACCGCTTCGCTGCAGTCTGAGGGCCTCAGCTTCTTCCTGAGGCGCCCTGGGATGACACAGCTGTCACACTCCATGTCTTTCTTCCGAAGCTGTGAAGTCCAAGACCATTTGGTCAGGTGGACGCCGTTGCTGCAGGACATGGCTTCCGGAGACTAGTTGTGTTCCGGTCGGGTGTGAAGGCACAGCACATGCTTCTTGCAAGCATGAGTGGTTCCCGAAAGAACCCAGCCGACAGAGCGATAAAGCCCATGTGGACCATGTGCACAGAAACATGGCATGACATCGTAAGCACTATTTCATGCCCAATTTCATGACAACCGAGAAGGAGATGGTGTCACTCGTCGGCGCAACGCAGAATGAAGTGGCCAAGGCGGCCATGGATGCCTGGGCCACGATTCTTCAGGCCCATCTAGGCCATGAGGATCAATCGCCTAGATGGCCTCCTTCGCTCTGCAGGATCGACCGCCCGTCACTGATAGCATTGATGAGGCTCGACTTCTGCAGCCGGAAGAGGCATCCGTATCAGTTTGCTTCACCCAGCTCGGGCCGCGCGGAACTCCTCACAGAGCTTCGTAGCTTTTCGGCCTGAAGGCGCCGCAGACACAGCCTCCCAAACAAACCCCCCACATCCCACAAAGCAGGCAGCTGTAGCCATAGCCATGGGGTTCACGAAGAAGGTTGCTCAGGACCTGGTGCAATCGTTACTTCGGGTCGGGGATCTGCTCTGGATCTGTTATGCAGCAGGCTCATTCCAGTCTCTTTGCGGGCATATCTCAGATGCTCGCCTGGCTTTTGCTAGGAGCCCGCGGATTGGCAGCAGTTCTACGTGTGCCTCGAAAGCGAAGGTAAGAGAGCCACCTGCAGTTGCGTACAAGTTGAGCTGCTGTCTCTTTATGCTGGCAGCTGCTTGCCCTATGCAATGTATTGCTGTGTTTGATATGAGGAACTATGAGGAACTGAAGCAGGCCGTGATCAACATGGCCGAGGAGGAAGAAGATCCGTCTTCTGGACGAGGCCGCCTCATGTTTCTTGGATTCTTCAATCAGCTATGGGCCGCGTTTACAGTTCATGGTTTGGGGGATGCTAGGTACATACAGCCAGATGTATGTCTTCAGCTCCGAGTTGGTTGAACCTCGCACTCAGGACAGCAGACATGTTGGATGACACTACAAAAATGGGGCGCTTTCAGGGCATGCTCCGTGCAGAGCTGAACAAGGTGAATGACTTTGCTTGCGCCTTCCGGCTGCACGTCCCGTTTTTTGCAATCAAGACCCGAAGGGCGACGGAGAGGATAGTGGCACCTATACTTGCGTAGATGCTTGGTTACATAATGTTACAGGGGCATGAGCCTGTTGTCCTTTGCTGACGGCCTTCATCGGTGACGCTCTTCTGGAGTGCCCGAGTGCCCTAAATCCTAAACCTTAAACTCCCTAAACTTAAACCCTACACCCCGAAAACCCTTATATAACCCCCCAAAAAAGCCCAGGGCTGGGTTTTTTTCCTTCCCCG